TGGACGTGTCGGATCGTGGTGGTTTGAGGTACACTAGGTGGAGAATCTGTGCCACTTGTGAAGGTAAGCTTTCCTCGTGGTTTGTCGTCTACTGTGTACTAGGACGTGCTGGACTGGAACAGAGCAGAGGGATTAAAATGGGGTCAGCCAGTTAGGAACCATGCTGTTAGGTTCAGCATTTGTATCTGCGGGTGTTTCAGGCATCCTCGGTCTTGTGTGAGGAGACTGTGGAGAGGCGGAAGGTGGATCGGTGTCCACGCGGAGAGATGGTGGAGGAAGGGAAACCAGTGCTGGCGAGGCCAGTCTGGAGCTATGAGGATTAGCGTTGCCCTGTCCGCCTTCAGCTTCTGAAGGACTTTGGGGATCAGAGGTATGGGGGGGAATGCATAGAGGAGGGGTCCGCGCCAAGTCGTAAGGAAGGCATCTCCCAGGGATGCGCGGCCTAAGCCCACTCTGGTGCAGTTCTTGTGGCATTTTGTATTTGCGGGAGTTGCAAAGAGGTCCACTCGGGGAGTACCCCAACGTTGGAAGATCTCGCATAGGACGCCATCGTGCATTTCCGATTCGTGCTTCACATGGAAGTGTCTGCTCAGGAAATCTGCCATCACATTTGTGGTGCCAGGTAAGTAGGATGCCATAGGTGTTACTCCATGGTGAATGCACCAGTTCCAAAAGCGGATGGCTTCCATGCATAGGGAACGGGAGCGAGTGCTGCCTTGGCGATTCACGTAATACATGGCTGTGATGTTGTCCGTGAGTATCCTCACCGTGGTGTTTCGAATGTAGATGAGGAAGGATTTGCATGCGTTGAAAATGGCACGTAGCTCTAGAAGGTTTATGTTTAGCCGTGCTTCTTGTGGGGACCATTGGCCTTGGACTGAGAGGGAGCCCATGTGAGCCCCCCAGCCTAGTAGGGAGGCATCCGTTGTGATTTGGTGGAGTGGCTCCCGCCGCCGGGGGTGTGGCTGGTCCACCGTAGAAGTGATTGGAGAACGCCAGGTGGCGGCGTTACCGGCCTGTGGAGATCGTATCTGCTGTGGTCGTATACGAGAGTCAGCCAGTACTGAAGGGTGCACAGATGTAGTCTGGCGTATTTCACCACATATGTTGTGGTGGCTATATGGCCCATCAGTCTGAGGCATGTGATGAGTGGAATGGTAGGGCTGACTGTGATGGTATGAATGAAGTCTTGGAAGACTTGAAACCTCTATAAGGGTAGGAATGCTCTGCCAGCAAGTAAGTCCAGACGGGCCCCAATGAACTCGATGTTCTGAGTGGGGCACAAAATGGAGTTTTGCTCGTTGAGGAGGAGTCCAAGCGACTGAAAGACTTGCCTCATGAGGTGAACCATCTGGGAGACCTCGTGTGCAGAAGGGCCCTTGAACAGGCAATCATCCAGGTAAGGGAAGATGAGTACTCCTTGGCATCGGAGGAAGGCCGTGACCACGGATAAAACCTTTGAAAACATCCTGGGGGCTGCCGATAGCCTGAAGGGGAGGACCTTGTATTGAAAGTGGTCTTTTGCCACGACGAAGCGCAAGAACCTCATGTGAGCTGGATTGATAGGGACGTGGAAATAGGCGTCCTGGAGGTTGAGGGCAGCAAACCAGTCCTGTGGATCTAGTGCAGGGTTTATGGCAGCTAAAGTCGTCATTTTGAATCATTGTTAATTGAGATATTTGTTCAAACAGCGGAGATCTAGGATGGGGCACCAACCTCCGGACCTCTTCTGGGTGAGGAAATAATGCGAGTAAAAGCTCCTGTTCCTGAAATCCTTTGGGACTGGCTCTATGGCACCCAGAGAGAGAAGGCAGTCAACTTCTAGTCAGAGGAGGGTCTCGTGAGAGGGGTCCCTGAAGAGCAATGGGGTGGGAGGGGTGGTTGATGGGATGGCTATGAAAGGGATAGGGTAGCCAGATTGAACAATCTCGAGGACCCATCTGTCTATAGTGATTTTTGCCCATTGATGTAGAAAGGGCCTCAGCCGGTGGTGAAAGAGCTGGGTTGTACAATTTGTGATGCTGCCTGTGACTGTCTGCTCGCCCCTGACCAAACCTGTTACTTGTTGTTGGGAGGCATGTTCGTCCTGCCATTTGGGTTTCAGTGTTGCTGAGGCCTCTGGCGAGAGCATTGGTTGTCGAAGGGCCTCTGTTGCTGGTGGTGTTGCTGCCACTGATGTCTGATGTAGGAGTAGTCATATCTGCGCTGGTATGGTGAGTACTGGCATCTCTTAAAGGGGGGCGTGTACTTCCCCAGAGTTCGCAAGGTTGTTCGGGAGTCTTTAGAGTAGTGTAAGATTGAGTCCGTGGTCTCTGCAAAGAGCTTATCCTTGTCGAAGGGTAAGTTCTCGACTTTGGCCTGTAGTTCCTTTGGAACACCTGCCATTTGAAGGAATGAAGCTCTGCGCATAACGATGGCAGTAGCAGTGGAACAAGCAGCGGTATCAGCGACGTCCATGGCTATTTGGAGGGACGTTCTCGCTGATGTGTAGCCCTCTTGGATTACTGACCTCAGGATCGATTTCTTAGAATCAGGGAGATGATCCATGAGGGGGGTGAGGCGTGAAAACGTATCAAAGATGTGATTGGAGAGATGCGCCAAGTAACTGGCGATTCTAAGGAGTAGCGTTGCTGAAGTGTAGACCTTCCTGCCCAGGAGGTCAAGTCTCTTTACGTCCCTGTCGGAGCCCTGTTGTTTGAGGTGTGGGGCTCTAGACCTCTGTTGAACTGCGTCGACTACTAAGGAGGTAGCCTGTGGATGGGCAAAGAGGAATTCCATGCCCTTCGGTGGTACGAAATATTTCCTGTCGGCCCGTTTGTTGGTTGGAAGAGCCGACGCTGGAGCACGCCACACTTCATCAGCCAGTTCCAGGATGCCTTCATCAAGAGGAATGGCCAGATGTGACCTATGCTGCGGTTGGAGATTCAAGAAAAGCTTGTGTTGCTCGTCTTTGAGTTCCTGCAGCGGGATCTTTTGTGTGATAGCTTCTCGCTTAAACAACTCTTGGAACTGATGGAGGTCATCTGGTGGAGAGCTGTCACCCGGCATGACTGCCTCATCTGGCGGGGACGAGTCTGGGATGGAAGTCCCGAATGTTGGTCCGCGAAGGGAGTATGTTCCGGCTTTGATAGATGGTGGGATGGTGATGGTGAATGGTGCGGAGAAGTAAGGGGAGCCGGAGTTGGAGAGCGCCTGCGTGAAGCGTAGTCAAAGGCGGATCGTGATCGGCAAGAATACCCGCTGCATGAATCTCGGGAGTAGTGGTCGCCGCGATGGTATATGCCATGTCGCGGTGAACGGTCATCATGGTAGTTAGAGCGGCTGCAATATCGATAGTGGTACGGGGAGCAGGGTGAACAGGAGTGGAGGTGTGATGCCCTGGAGGAAGCAGGAGAAGCAGAGAGCTGCCTGTAGTAGTGCCTGCGATGAGAAGATGCAGCAGCTAGAAATGGAGAAGGCAGTCTGGAGGAGGCATGGGGACACCCATGCCAGTGAGTGGACCGGCGTGGAGATCGCAGTGCTGGCAGAGGAGAGGACGGTGCCAGGGAGAGGAGGCGGGAGCGAGAGCAGCTGCGGGGCGGAGATAGGAGAGGAGCAGGGTTCCGCGGTGGTTGTCTGGCGGCATGTGCTGAAGCGCTAGCCGCTGGATTGCTCTGCTCCGGCAGCTCAAGGGCAGGAGCAATCAGCGCCGTGCCAGCAGCAGAGCGGGTCGGCGCCGTGTAGTCCGGCACTGCGTGGTAACTCAGAGGAGGTGCTGGAGCCAGTGCCGTGATGGTTGGATCCAAGGCTGCTCTTGGAGCCGGCTCAGCGCTCTGTGCTGGAGTGAAGAGAAGCGGCTGAGCTGGTGCTGTCTGGGGAGCTGGCGTTTGGGATGCCTCCCATGGCCGCTTAGGCTTCAGAGCCGCTGAGGCAGGGGGACGTGGCTTTACATTGCCAGACGTCCCAGGTGTGTCTGCCTGGTTTTCCCTGCCATTAAAGGCAGCTGGCAGGGGTCTGGCTGGGGGCAGCCTGCCTTCTTTTGGAGTCCCGTAGTGGGGGAGGAAGCCCGGTGTTTGAGTGGCTGCTGATCAGAGTCAGCTTGCTGTGGTTGCAGGGCTTTGTCAAAGAGGAGCATGCGAAGGCGCCTCTCTCTATCTTTTCTAGCCCTGGAGGTGAGTCTTGAACAATGGGTACATTTCTGGGGGATGTGAGATTCCCCCAACCGCATTTTTTAAAGCCAGTCACAGACATTTTGCCAGCAGCCTGAGGCAGTTTTTTTTTTTGAAGTAGCAGAGAGACAGCTAGTTATTCAAATGTTAGTAACTTGGTGATAATGTCTCTGTTCTGTTGTCTTCATTCCTTTTCTCTTTTTACTTTTTTTTTTTTAAATGAACGCAACTATGTACAACGGAGTTTACGGGAGAACAGCTGAGAGGCGGGAGGTAAGAGTGGTATGCGGTTTCTGTTCTTACTCCCGATAGTTCTGTCTTTCTCTCTCTTTTTTTTTTTTAAAAAAAGGAGAAAAAACAAGGGAAAAGAAGGAAATAGGATTGTATGTACAAGAGGGAATTAGAAGGAGTATAGTTCAGTCAGTGAGGTAAGGAGCGCGGTTCCAAGTGTCTGCAGCCTGAGGCAGTGAAGAGGAACTGGCAGGGGGCCGAACCGCGCGAGACAGAAAAGAGCGCAAAAGCTGCCAGCCCGCGGCACATACGCGGTCCGGCCGAGCACTGCTCCTCTCAAGCTTCCGTCTGCGGCGCCAGGGCAAGCCCAGCACCCATAGTGGAGCACACGCAGGGACATCCCCGAAGAAGAACACAGTGATATAGGCACATGAGGCAGTAGGTTTTTGTTAATGGCAGAAGTTTGCCTGAAAAATCCAATAATACAAATTAAGACAGATCTTGATATTACAAAAATACGTTAGTGGTACAGCATTTGTGTTTCTCATTATGAAGGTATTTGTAGTTCTGAGCTCATTACATACTAATTATTGATGATTTCATAATTTCAGTTATACTAACCTGTGCGCATACAAGCCACATTTATTAGCCACCATTCTGGTATCCGTGGTAGAATCAGCATAATTCTGTCTCCTTTCTGCAGACCACATACCTCAGAGAGTACATTGGCCACTTTTCTGGAGTAGAATCCAAGCTCCTCAAAGTTCCACCTCACCTCATTGCCTTTATCGTTTACCCACCACAGGGCTGTCCTTGCAGGCCTCTTCCCTTCCTAATGAACAATATGGTACATTGTAACTGCTTAGTTTGATATGCATATAACCAGGGCTCGCCAAGAGGCAGCGAGCCCCACTCGCCAGCTACACGGTTCGGCATGCTGCGCATGTGCAGACCGCGCTGCACATGCGCTTACCGCACTGCGCAGCTGTGCCGGCTTGGAATCTACTCGCCACGGGCGAGTAGATTATACTAATTGTCGAGCCCTGCATATAACCATCCCCCAAATCCAACTTTCCAAGACAGAAGAATGTTCATTCTTTATACAGAAAGAAGGAAATCCTGGCCCCACTGAAATCTGTAGAATTTTCCTTTGACGTCGACGGAACTGAGATTTCACACTAGATTTAGAATGGTCTAAAAATGTCAAATCCCTTTCCTGAGACTAACACATTAGATAATGAAAAAACACTGCACCTTGGCTAGCACAGAAACCTGAGGGTCACTATGACTCTGGCTATGTTTACATTTTTCAAAGTGGCCTGTAATATTGGATGCCTCCATGTCTGTAGGTTTGTACCCAGATAAATACCTAGAACCTGGGTTTCAGATGGCAGGAGTACCCACAAGCTCACACTTCAACTGCAGTAGGAGGTGGCCAGCACTTCCTAAAATTAGATTAAAAGTCCAAAAGTCTAAATCAAAAGCTCCCTGTGAAAATGCAGACCTAAGCCATTCTGAGTCTGATTCTCCGTTTGTCAGCAGAGATTATTGTGCATTAGGTGTTATGTGGCTAAATTAACCGATGCTTGTTAGGTGCACTGAAATCCTTGTCTAAAACTTGTTGAAGGACTAAGTGTTATTTATGAGTAGAGTACAGGTCCTGTCTAGTGTCCTTCTGTGATCGTTAGGCATTGCTAACAAGGTGAATAGATTTTTATTGGTGCATTTTAAGGAGAAATCTTGCTCCTCTTTCCTTAGCTCTTCTTTCTGATGCTGATTTTTCAAAGATTTTGCTTGCATCCTGCAAAAAGTTGTTTTTACTGCCCAAGAATTATAACATTATATTATGTTAAAGTGATTATTCTTTTACCACTCTCATTTTTCAAACAGAAAGACTGACACACAGAGAATTTGGAATTTGTCTATGGGTCTTATCCTGCAACTCTACTTCTCTCTCTCTCTCCCTCTCTCTCTCTCTCTCTGTGTATATATATATAAACATATTGTGGGATGACAGAATAATGTCATCACGTCACTCTGCATCCCGCTGCTCCTCCACTCCTCCTTTCTCCCTAGTGCTCCAGCAGGGCAAGAGCTGCGTGGCTTCTCCTTCCTTGGTGCTCCATGGGAGCAGAAGCCACTAGACACGTGGCTTCCCCCGACTCCCATCCCCAGTGCTCCAGGGGAGGGGCAGAAGCCATGAGCCGTGTAGCCTTCCCTCTCCCAGTGAGGTGGAAGCCATGACCTATGAGGCCTCCACCCTCTGGAGGGGGGGAGTGGAAAATGCGAGGCCTCCACCCTCCCCTGTCACGCACACCCTCGACCGAGACCCTGCACTACTGCTCCCTCACTCACCACCTTGCCAAGACTTTGCACCCTAGCCCCCTCACACACTCTCTCCACCTAGAAAATGCACCCTCAGCCCTCTCACTCCACCCTTCCACCGAGATCCCACACACCCAGCCTGTTCTTGTCCTCTCCCCGCCCTCAGGCCAGACACTTACCTCCAGCCTGCTCCTGCCCCCTCTCTTGCTTTTCTCCTCCCCCCGGCCAGACACCCTGCCCCCAGCCAGACACATACGCCAGAGAGAGGTGGGTTAGCGAGTGTAGCGAGCATGGGACACAGCCCCCTAGGGTATGTCTACACTACCCCGCTAGTTCGAACTAGCGGGGTAATGTAGGCATACCGCACTTGCAAATGAAGCCCGGGATTTGAATTTCCTGGGCTTCATTTGCATAAGCTGGGCGCTGCCATTTTTAAAACCCCGCTCGTTTGAACCCCGTGCAGTGCGGCTACACGGGGCACGAACTAGGTAGTTCAAACTAAGCTTCCTAGTTCAAACTACCGTTACTCCTCGTGGAATGAGGAGTAACGGTAGTTCGAACTAGGAAGCCTAGTTCGAACTACCTAGTTCGTGCCCCGTGTAGCTTTGACCTCCAACAAGCTACAATCACCTGCTGACTGTTACCAAGAGCCTTCCACCAATAGACTACCAGGAACACCAGCTCCGTCTTCCAAACTTCACAACCCTGTGATACATTCCCTCATTGCATTACCACTGCAGGCCCTTTCAATGAGCTACCATTACTCTCTCTGGGTATGTCTACACTACCCTCCTAGTTCGAACTAGGAGGGTAGTGTAGACATACCCCTAGTTACTATCATTTGTATTATAGTCATGCTCCCAATCAAAACTGAGGTCCTTCTATGCTAAGTGTTGTAGAGATACTGAGAGATAATCCCTGATTTGAAGAGTTTACATTCTAAGTAGACAAAATAGATGAACAATAAGAAGTGAAATTTACAGATGAAGATTGAGGCACAGAGAGATTAGGACTTGGTCTACACTCCCAATTTATATCAGTGTAAATATGTTGCCCGCGGTGAGGAAAATACACCCCCCTCCCGAGTGACTCAGTCATACCAATCTATCCCATAGTGATGTAAATAGGAGGACTCTCCCATCAATATAGCTACCGCCTCTCAGAGAGTGAAGTGCCTACGCCAACAGGAAAATCTCTTCTACTGGTGTAGGAATCATCTTCATTAAGTGCTATAGCACTGCAGCTGTGCCAGCACAGTGCTGTGAGGACATGCCCTCAGTGATTTACCCAAACTCACCCAGGAAGATAGTGACAAGCTTAGATTTGTTAAGCCTCAATCACAAGATCCTCTTCCCTCTGTTGCTCATGCTGTCTCTTTGCACTCAGCACGGCTATTAAGTAATCAAGAATTACGGGAGTGGTCCCAAAAGCTGTGGAAGTTTTAGAACTTGGGAATTCCTGGCTGTTGGTCCAGTATACCAACTGCAGTGCCTCTCTGAAATGAGAGGGTTCCCACTCTGTAGCCAGAAAGTATATCACTTGTTTCTGCCAACCATGTTTTTCCTCTGATACCTTACACAAAAATCTTAGCATAAGGAAAATCTAAAAAATGATGGTCCTGTACCACCCACAAAAGCTCATGATACTATATACAGGCAGTCCCCGACTTACGCGGATCCGACTCATGTCGGATCCGCAGTTACGAACGGGGCTGCCCCTGAGGACACGGACTGCAGGACCTCGCGGTCCTGCCACCCGTGTACTCCGGGGCTTTCTCCACATCTCCCTGGTCTGCAGCTTTGCAAAGCCTCGGGGAAGCCGGCAGTGGGACAGCCCAGACGCCCCGCGGCTGTCCCGCTGCTGGCGTCCTCAGAGGCTTTGCTCCCCGTCTCCCTGG